GCGCCCAGCACCATTTTAGCATCTGATCTCACCGAGGTGGCTGGAGCCCTGGCACCTGATTCTAGTGTGGGGTTGGTCCAAGGGGTCCCTGAGGCCCATGCCATGTGCCCAACAGAATGCCTGGTACGTAGACAACCTTGAGAAATAACCTCCTGAATGACTGAATGAGTGACTGAATGAATGAATGAGTGAATGAATGAATCCTGTGAGCCACAGAACCCAGCAATGCTGACGGGGCTGTCACACCCGATTGGGCCCACTGTCCTTCACCCACACACCCTCCGAAAATAACAGCCACCATTGACTGAGCACGGACCACGCACCAAGCGCTGAGCCAAGCCGTGTGTCTTCTCGGAGGTGCCCTCGGGCCTCCTCTAGGGTGAGCCCATGCGTCCGAGGGCCAGGCATCCTCAGAGTCAGACCCCAGGCCCTGAGCTTACTGTGTGTGTTCCTGAGCGAATCACCTCAGCCCTGAAGTCCGCGTCCCACTCTTTAATGAGATAGAATGAGCGCCTGCCTCTGACCCACCTGGACGGAGACAATACACGGTAGGTGCTTAGGAGACAGTCCACAGATGTTATATTTACACATTTTGATGAACGTATTTCAATCGAATTGGCTTCCTTTTTCGCCATTTGTATTATTTTATAGATTTAACACATTATTCTGACAAGGGCCCATGGGCTCAGCCGATGCCAGCAGGCTCACAGCGCGCCAGGAGGCCACGCCTTTAAGCCCCGCAGCCCGAGGTGACCGCCAATCTCTCCCCTCATCTCCTCCTCTGAGTATCCAAACGGTCAGATTCCTCCTGCCCTGTTTCAGGAGGTCCTGAGAGAAGTCAGCGCCCGCCCAGGGGCCGTCCTGAGAGCACTGTTGGCAGAAGCAGCCCACAAGCTGGAGACAGTGTCGCTGGCGCCTCCACGCCCACGCGCTCACCTGCCACCTGTGGTGCCCGCCCAGGGAAGGTGAGCCTGTGCAGCTGCCAGCCTGCAAAGCCTCGAGCACGGACACCAGGCCCTTTTCAGAAACAGCTTCCGGCCCTTCCCTGGGAGAGCGCCGGGCACACGGGAACCCACAGTGCACATTAATCAGCGTCGCTTTCATGGGAATCCCCATTTTGCATAAACTGGCACTTCCTTTTCTATTATTTACTCTGTATTTTTTCAGAAGTTCAATTCATTTCGGAAGGAAACACTACATTTCTACTACAAAGCTCACGGGTTCGATGTGTCCATTCTATTTTAATCACAGGCTTTGAATTGAACCCGTGAGGATGAAAACGTGTAATTGTTCAACTCCTTCTGGGGACACTGACCCACAGACCTGCCTCTGACAGGAATCTCAGAGCCTCGGGTGCCTGGCCGCCGGGCTGGGCCTTACGGGCCTTCAGGGGCGCTTGGCTCTCACATCACCAGCTTTTGTGAAAATGATCTGATTTTTGTCTCCACTCCAGACTGTCAACTCCTTGAGGTCAGGGACAGTCTTTTATCTCTGAACCCAGTGTCCCTGGGGGCATAGCACCCGTTATATGTGTTCTTAAGCCAAACCCCTGAGGCCATGAGAATGTGAATCAGATGACCCTTCCTTTGATCTTCAGAGAAAGTGAGAAAATCTCAGCCCAAACTGTCAGGGGGTTGGCGAGGGAGGAGACGGCACACTGCCCTGCCCGGCCGGTGTGGCTCAGTGGTTGAGCGTCAACCCAGGAGCCAAGAGGTCACTGGGTGGGTTCCCGGTCAGTCAGGGCACAAGCCCGGCTGCGGCTCCATCGCTGGTGGGCATGCGGGAGGCAGCCGATCACGTTTCTCTCTCTCTCTCGTCATGGATGTTTCTATCTCTCTCTCTCTCTCCCTTCCTCTCCCTCTAAAATCAATAAAAACATATTTTTTTAAAAAGAAAGCAAGCTCAGACCCTGAATCAGGCTCCATTCGCAGACTTCCCCGGGAACCTCACCCAGCGGTCCTTCCTGTCTCCCCCGAGGCACTGCATGGCGGTGCGGAACTGCCCCGCGTCGGCTGCCCGCAGGTCCTCCCGCAGCTTCTGGGGCTGGAACAGAAGCTGCTCCAGGTGGTGCTCCACGGCCGCCTGGACAGGGTGTGAGGAGAGTGCGTGAGGACAGGGACAGGACGGGAGCATGAGCACACGCAGCCCAGCCGGCCGCCTCCTACCCTGCAGAGTCCCCAGCAGCCCCTGACCGGAGGCAGGGAGGGTTCATCAGCTGCCAGCGTTAAAAGAAGGCTGTTCCTCACAACAATGCAGACCTCCAACTTCTCTCGGAAAACACAGATTCGGCGATGCTGGCCGCGCCCCGCCTGTGACCACCAGCTCCCCACCCAGCCAGCCAGCCACTTCTCCGGGGCCTGCCTGGTCCCGGGAGGGGATGGAGGTTTCAAGTCCAGAGAGTTCACCCCAGGTGGGCACTCTCCCAGACCCCAAGCTACGAGGGCAAGACAAGCCATTCAGGGAGCAAGAACCAATCCCTCCCTCCGCAGCCTCTCCCCACAGATTCCCTCTGCTCCCTGGGGGATGCTCCCCTCAGCCTCCCTCAGGCAGGGCTGCTGCAGAAAGGCAAGCAGCCTGTGCCACGGGCAAAGGTGGTCTCCAGAGCCAGACAGCCATGTGCAAGCCCCACCCTGCCACGCACTAGCCGTGCGGCCTGGGGCACGTCACTTAGCCAGTTTGCTAGATAAAACACAGGATACCCAGTTAAGCCTAAATTGCAGGTCAGCAATGAATAATGTTTTTAGCATAAGCGTATCCCAAATATTGCATGGGACATACTTATACTTTTTGTTTGTGGTTCAATGATAGTATTATAGTATTATCATTCATTCATTCGCTCAATATCTAGTATATATTTACATATATATGAAGACAGATAGTATAACTACTAATATGTATATACTAGAGGCCCAGTGCATGAAATTCGTGCATGGGTAGGGTCCCTAGGCCTGGCCAGCAATCAGGGCTGATCAGATTCCCCACCCCCTTCTTCCCTCGCTCCCTCAGCATCCCACTGCCACTGCTTGTCACCTGCCATGTTCCGCACCACCCCCTGGTGGTCAGCACACGTCATAGCGAGCGATTGAACTCCTGGTCTCCCGGTCGAACTCCCCAGGGGACACTTTGCATATTAGCTTTTTATAGAGATAGATATATTTCATGAGAAACCACATGCTAGAGAGAAAGGGTCAGGCATTTCTTATCTTAAACTGCCACAGACTGATGAGCAGTAGAGATAAAGGTGGGTATCCTGGTGAATGGCTAACCACCAGCTCTCCGAGGCAGTGCAGCTGTGAGTGTAGGCTGATATTCTTGTTTTCATCAAGTAAACATGGAAACAACAGAGATGTCAGACCTCCCTTCATCCATGACATGAATTCTTTGCTGAATCAGAGAACGGTTCTTGAATCCTGGGAGCATATTCCCTCGGTTCTCTGTGTGTGCTAGTCCCAGTGTCATGGCAAAGACATGCGCACCAGCCCTACCACCCGCTGAGGCACAGATCCACTGCCATCAACTAACATGACTCCTGCTTGTGGTTGAGTTAAAAGTGAAGAAAAATATTTCTTGGCTCATGACTGAGGTACTGATACGTATACCCGAAGATCCACTGCCCTGTTGTTCCTTTTAGCAATAGAATCCCTCGCGTCTGAGCTGGTCCGTGGCCTCTGAGAAAGGCCTGCAGTGATGTGAGCATGGACTGGGAGCCAAGAAAGGTCAGCAGAAGGAAATGTGGGAGTGCAGATCACATCCTTAAGGAAAAGATGCCCACCTTCACTTCCTCCCCCCCCACACACACCCCCGCCCTCCGCTCCCCTCCCCTGCCCTGGGTGGAGAATGGATGTGCTGCTTCAGGATGTGGGCAACAGCCTAGAGGGTGACAAAACGGTAAGATAGAAGGAGCCCGGTCTCTGGAAGGTCTTTTGAAATATCCTGTCCGGATCTCCCACTTAGGTGTGGACTATTACATAAGACAGAAAGAAACGAAACTGTTTGAGCGCTGTAATTTGGGGTCTCTGTTACGGCAGCTCAGCTTATACCCTAATGCACCACGTCTCCATCAAAGACGGAAAGATAAGAGCTAGACAAAGAACTTGTGTTGTGTTTTAAGAAAAAATGGACAGAACACGTTTCTTGGGGGCAAAGACTAGCGCTACACCTGGCCCACTGTCCACTTCCTTGGCCGGAGTCTGCTCCCGAGCACAGCCAGGCAGCACACGGGGAGGGCACCGACACACACCTGCAGGCTGGGGACGGTGAATGTCACACCCCGTGCGTTCAGGTAGGCCAGGACTCCGTGGGCCAGGTCCGCCGTCCACAGGTGGGAGCTTCAGTCAGAGACAGACAGACGGGAGGTCAGGACAGCAGCTCCCTGTGCCGGGCAGTCCTCCTGCTCACTGAGTGGCCGGGGGATGGAAGTCGGAGAGGATGGGGGGGTGGGGGAAGGGATGCTAGAAACTGTGCGTGCAGAGGAAGGGACACAGTGGGTGGGGTCGGGGGGGGGGGTTCCAATTTAGGAATCCGCCTGGATCCTATTCTCCCAAGGACAACTAGCGATCTCTGAGCTGCGTGCACGATTCCACTTCCCAAAACAACCCACTTAAATCAGCTACCGTTCAAACAGATGACCTGAGAAAGGTCCTCACTAAATTAAGTTTAAAAATAGGCCCTAACAGGCTTAGCTCACTGGATACAGCGTCGGTCTGCGGACTGAAGGTCCCAGATTCGATTCCAGTCAAGAGCACATGCCCAGGTTGCAGGCTTGATCCCCAGTCGGGGGCGTGCAGGAGACAGCCAATCAGTGATTCTCTCTCATCATTGATGTTTCTATCTCTCTCTCCCTCAACTTTCCTCTTTGAAATCAATAAAAATATACATATTTAAAAATAATAATAAATAAAAGCAGGTGCTGTGTGCACCATGAGAGGCTGGAATAGATTGTGAAGAGTGGGCTCGGAACCTGGATTTGAATGCTGGCTCAGTCACTCAACTGTGCAGCCTTAAGCAGTTTACTGAGTTGCCCTGTGCCTCCGTTTCCCTTTCTGTTATACAATTGTCAGGATTCAATTTGCTTACGCAGGGAAAGTGCTTCGCCCGGTGCCCAACACACAGGAAATGCACAGCTCCGTTCACAACAGCCGAAAACTGGAACCAAGTCCAACATCCAGTAACAGGCGGAAGGCCAGGAAGCATGGCGAGAGCTCACGGGCACCACTCGCCACTAACAAGCTCTGGCCAGGCGTCGGCTCCAGACAGGGGCGAGCCTGGCGGCGGTGAACCCTCCCGCAGTGAGCCACTAGAAGGCCTTCCATGAGCCCATTTTTGTTGTAAGTGATGAATGAATAACAAATTAATAAATAAACACTTTAGCCTGAAAAAATACCCAAAACTACCCACTGGAGTTATCTTAGGGAGAGGAGTGTTTGTGCGGGTCTATCACTTTAGCATAATTGGGCGCCTTGTCATGAGGCCCAAGGTCTCCATTTCTTCTCCCTCAGGGTACTCGTGGTGTTGTAATTAGCTGCTAACATTTGTCCTTCCCCGAAACTCTCCAGGACCCTGCCTTGTGTCCCAGGTATCTCACACCGCGCCTGCAGCACGGATGACACCACGGTGAAGGCCACGGTGTGGAGCTCCCCCCTTCCCGCGGGTGGCATGGCCAGACGCATCCTCCCTGGGCCCTGGTGTCACCATCCTGTCTAATGGGACAGCAGCAGGGCCGCCCGGGGTGCAGTGAGGACCCGACCTGTTTCTCTGCGTAAAACGCTGGGAATAGTCCCCCTACAGAGCGAGCGCTCAGTGACCGTCAGTCCCTGTGCCAGAGCAGAGAGGAATGCGTCTGTGGAACACATGTGTCTACTTAAAAAACACACTGTGCTCTGGGTGACACTGTTTGTAATGCGTATGTATCACCTTTACAACTAAGAGACTTTCATGAAGAGCTTTTACTGAAAATCTATCCCATTCCCCCCTCCCACCCCCCCAAGGGCAGGTTACCTTTGAAACTGTATGAGATCCAGGAGCGCTAGAAGGGGAATAAAGGAGAGATGCTTAAAAACGAGTCGCTCCAGAGAGATCGGCCACATTCGGTGTGAGCGTCTTAGAAGCAGCATGTGGGGACATTACCGTTCAGATAGTTCCCATCTATTACTTCTTCCTAAAAGGCAAAGGGACAGCAGTTAAGCATAACATCCAAAACCGCAGAGGGGGCCTGGGTTAAAAGAAGAAAGAGGAACACTCACCGCCATTTTTTGCAGCAGTGGGTGCAAATCTGTAAGAAAGCAGTGAATGTGTAACTAGAATTGAACTGGGCAGCCTTCAAAGATACAAATGTGGGTTTAGATAAGAGTCCCCCTGAAAGCCGTGAAGGAAAATTACAATGGGTTTTAATCAGCCTGCACCTACATGTGCCCAGTGTGAGAAAACCTGGGTCTGAAAACCCCTTTTAGCATAACCGTGAAAACCCTACGTGTGCTCCTGCACGCGCACCAGGACACACACTCCAGCATCAAGTACCTAAGCTGGCCCATCCCCTCTCCATCCCCTCCGGTGTGTGGGAACCATGGGAGTTTTCCTCCCTTGGGACTCACCCTGGCTGGAATTTGCACCGAGACTTGCCACTCCATGGCTCAGAAAAAGGAAAAGGACAGGAGCGTATGTCCTAAGTTCCTGAGACACCATCCTGTAATTAATTCCAGCATAATTATTATGTACATATATAATTTCAGTTTGATTTCTTAAACATATTAAAAAGATTCAGAAGACAAAAGGGAAAGACAAACGGACCCAGAATCCTTTGAGGTTTTTTCAAAATAATTTTAAAATTCCATCTACTCTGCCCCATCTAAACCCCAATCCTAGTCTAAGACGCAAGCCTTTCTCTCCTATTTAAAGTCTTTCCCTCTCTCCCATTCCCCTCAACCAGCAAGAGGAGTGCTTAAAATCAAGGGCTCTGTTATATCTAACAAAGAATGTATGTCCAAGATATAAAAAGAACTCTTGCAATTCAGTTAGAAGAAGATAGCCAATGGGCAGGGGGGGGCGGGGGAGGGGGAATGTAGAAAAGATATAAACTTTATTTAAAAAATACAAATCGCCAATAAGCACATTAAAGATGATCAACACCATTAGTTATCAGAACATGCAAATTTAACCCACGATGAGATACTACTGCATACCCCCTATAATGGCTAAATATTTAAAAACCTGATAATACCAAGTGTTGGTGGTAATGTAGAGCAAAAACTCTTACACATACGTTGCTAATACAGCCACTTTGGAAAACTGCTTGGCAATGTCTTAAAAGTTAAATATATAATACTCTATGATCCAGGAATCCAACCCCCAGGTATTTACTCACAAGAAATTAGCACATATGTCCACACAAAGACTTGTACAGTTTTGTTCATAAGAGCCAAAAATTAGAAACAACTCGCATGCCAACAACAGGTGAAGGCTTGAACAAATATGGCATATTCACCCAATGGAACACCACTCATCAATGAAAAGTAAGGAGTTGAGCTTTCGCTTCCAGATATGACGGGGTCATTAGCAGTAGATAAAACCTCATACTTTAAATAACTAGAAAACCAACCAAAATATATGAACAAATGTTTTTAGATATTGGACAACAGGTAACGCAAGGCCGAGATTCCTGAGAGAAGGGAAAGCGTGAGGTAATAGGAAATACGTATTGTTCTCTGTCCCTGGCTCCTGCACGGAGCCCCCGAAATTCTTGTAATTTCCTGGGTGACAAGAGCACCGGGGCACCTTCTGTTCCATGAAGGCGACTCTAGGTGGCTCCTGGACGGCTTCCGGATGGGAGCTGATCTCCGGAAAGACTAAGCCATGATTAACAACTTGGAATGTTCAGGCCTACCCCATCCTCCAGAGAGAGGCTGGAATGGAAGTTAATAGTTGATCATGCCAAAATGAGGAAGATCCCCATAGTACATGGTTCAGACATCTTCCAAGCTGGCAAACATGTCCACACTGGGAGGGTGGCGCACCCTAACGCCACATGACAGAAGTTCTTGGACTCAGAACCCCCCCAAACCTCTCCCTGTGTAGCTCTTCACGGAGCTGCTCATCTGCATCCTTTATCGTGTCCTTCAATAAACTGGTGAATAATCATGAGTATTTCCCTGAGCTCTGCGAGCTGCTCCACCAAATTAGTCACATAAGGAGGGGGTTGTGGGGACCTCCGATCTGTAAGCAAATCAGACAGAAGTTGTGTGAACCTGGGGACCCACCACTTGCATCTGCTGCTGAAATGGAGTAGAAGAGGTTTGGTGGGACTGAGCCCTCAACGTGTGGGGTCTGACATTTTCTCCAGATAGTGTCAGAGTTTAGTTAAAGTGCAGGACACCCACCGGCATCACAGAATTGCCTAGTGTGGGCTCTGTAAACGCTCACACATTCAGTGACCAGATGAAGTGTTCTGTGTGGAGTGGTGAAGGAGACACACGGCTCACAGGAAAGAACAAAGAAGCGGGTGGAGAACTGGGCTTCTCCCTACTCAGGAGGTTTTCTTTACACAGAAACAGCCTGAGCTCTGTGAGTCCTCGAGCTCACTACCTGGGTCTCCACCCCTCAGCACAAGGAGGGAGAATCCCAACAGAGCCTACAGGTCTCACTGAATTGAGGAGACAGTTGGAGAGAAAAGACTTGCAGAGAGAGAAAGTTCTGGAGATTTTCCAAAGGGTCCCTCGAGTCTTTGGCTGAATATTTGTCTTTCTATACCTGTACATGTGAGAAACCACCTGAGACTATAGAAAAAAACACCAACCAGAAAGCAGAAGTCAAGCTCACACTGGGTGGAGAATAAGTGGAAAAATTTTCAAACATGTGGGGTATTAGGAAAAGAAAGCCTTGAAAGGACCAAACTGATTCCAATTACCTGGATTACATCCAAACAATATTTAAAGAAGTATCATAAAATCCAGTATCCAGCAATGTAAACACCCAAAATGTCCAGCATCCAATCAAAAATTACCAAACAAAGAAGCAGGAAAATACGTATAATTACCAAAGAAAAAACCCAATCAGCAGAAACAGGTCCAAAAAGGACAGAAGATCAAATTAGCAGACAAAGATGGCCATTATATATATACTCTGTAGGTTCAAGAAGGTAGAGAAAAGTATAAACATGTTAAAGAGAAACATGGAAGATACAAAAAACTCAAACAGAATTTCTACAGATGAAAATACAATCTCTGGATGAAATATGCACTGGGAATGGTTAACAGCAGATTAGACATTGCAAAAGGAAAGATTGGTGAACTTGAAATCATAGCACTAGGAAATATCCAAACTAAAACACATGTGACAAAAAGACCCAAAAAATTGTCAGAGAGCTCTGGGACACTATGAAACATCTAAAAATGTATGTAATTAGAGTCCCAGGGAAAAAGAGGGTGGCAGAACAAATATTTAAAGAAACAATGGCCAAAATCTTATCAAGTTTCATAAAACTATAAACCCACAAATCCAAGAAGCTCAACAGACTCCGAACAGACGAAACAAAGAAAACCACACTAAGGCACATCATAATCAAACAATGGCGCACACACACACACACACACACACACACACACACACACAAAACAATCAATCTAGAATATCTAAAGAATTCTCAAAACTGAACTGTGAAAAAGATAAATAAACAATCCAATTAGTCAATACGCAAAACACATGAGCAGACATTTCACCAAAGTGGATATCCAAAAGACAAATAAGAACATGAAAAGATATTCAGCATCATTAGCCACTAGGGAAATCAATATTAAAACCATAAAATCATTATAGATCTACCAGATGGCAACAAAATGTTTTAAAGTGATAATGCTAAATGCTGGAAAGGATGCAAAGAAACTGAATCCTCATACATTGCTGGTGAGAAAATAAAACGGTGCAGGTACTCTGGAAAATAGTTTATGCTTTTTATAAAACTAAGCATGCATTTAACATATAGCCCAGCAACGGCACTCTTGGGAATTTAACCCAGAAAAATGAAAATCTGTATTCACATAAAAGCCCGTACATGAATGTTTATAGCAGCTTTATTCATTTTAGTAAGAAACAGGGTCCAATTCAAATATCCTTCAATTGGTGAATGATTAAACAGATTGTGGAATGCCCATGCCATGCAATACTACAAACTATGGATATGCAGTAATTTGAATGGGCCTCATAGGAATTGTGTTGAGTGAAAAAATAAAAGGCAATCACAAAGGTTACACACTGTAAATTTGCAGGATAGAAAAAGATCAGTGTTTGCCATGAGGGAAAGCAAGTGTGGCTATTAAGGCTGCACAAAGGAGTCTGTGGTCATGGGCCAGTCTGGATCTTGAATAGGGTAATGGTTACATGAATCTACACATGTGACAAACTGTAAAAACCATGTACAGATGCACATAAGAATCAGTGCGTGTACAACTGGTGAATGCTGAGTGAGTTCTATGGATTAGACTATAGTATATTATACTGTAATACTATAGTATTATAGTCTAATACTATAGAGACTACAGTATCAGACTATAGTCACTATGCCAATGTCAGTTTCCTGGTTTTGCTACTGCACCAGTTATGTACGGTGTAACCATGGGGAGTTTGGGGAAAGAAGACAGGTGGGTCTTATCTTTTTTCCCCCTTTTGCAACTTTTTGTGAATCTATAATTATTTCAAAATAACACATTTTTAAGCATCCAAAGAAAAATATCACATTATAAGCATAGGAAGAGGAATAAACTAATTTAAGTAAGAATATGGCCCTAACGGGTTTGGCTGGGTAGATAGAGCATTGGCCTGCAGATTGAAGGGTCCCAGTTTCGATTCCGGTCAAGGGCATGTACCTTCGTTGCGGGCACATCACCAGTAGGAGGTGTGCAGGAAGCAGCTGATCGATGTTTCTCTCTCATCGATGTTTCTAACTCTCTATCCCTCTCCCTTCCTCTCTGTGAAAAATCAATAAAAAAAATACTTTAAAAAAAAGAATATGGATGCCCTCAAAAATGCAATGCCAAACAAAAGCCAATCCAAAAGAGTACACATCACATGATTCAATGTGTATGAAACTCTAGGACAGACAAAACATCTACAGTAACAGGGAGCAAGACAGCAGTGCCTGGCACACAGTGACGCGCAGTGGGAGAAGTTTATTGCAAAAGAGCACGAGGAAACTTTATGGGTGAAATTCCATATCTTGATGGTGTGGTCGTTATACAGAAATGTACATATGCTATCGAATCTCACTGAACTGCACACTTTAAGTGGATGTATTTTACTTTAATATCAATTATACTGCACACAAGTTTATTTCAAAAGAGAAAAGGAAAGCATGGACTGAGAAGCCAGATGCCTGGTTTGAATCTCATCTCCATCACTTACTAGCTGTGTGATGTTACACAAGTTACTTAATCTCTCTGGGACTCTGTTTTCTCATCGGTAAGACGGAGTAAATAATGGTGCCCGTATCCTGGTGTTGTCTGAGGATAAGGTGGCTAATAGCAAATCACTTACATGGATTGGTAGAATCAACATCATTAGAATGTCCATACCACCCAAAGCAATCTATAGATTCAATGCACTCCCCATTAAAATACCAACGGCACATTGCACAGACCTCGAACAAACTCTCCCAAAATTCATCTGGAGTAAAAAAAAGACCCCGAATAGCTGCA